GATTATTTCTAATTTGATGACCGCATCATCATCGTCTTCATCAAACCCTTCTTGTAACCCCATTGGTACCCATTTTACTGCTGAAGAATACAATTGAATAGATAATCTTTTCTATCATCTTTGCTCTGTATTTCACCGCTTGTTTCCTGTAAAGTTTAATCTCTTTCTACCTAAAGAAATGATGTTGCTTGCATCACTATCTGGGGTTTTTCGTCATCAACAAATGAATAGTTCTTCAATTTTTCGGCCTCTTCTAAGGTATTGTTCTTAACTCAAGATTCTATCAAATGGGTTTCCTTCTTTTTGATCGATTTGGTTAATTTTGCAAAATTGGACGAGGGGTTTTGTACTTTTAGTTCAATCGTGTATAAATTGTGCGTTCTTACATGGGTTCGATCTCAATTGCGTTAATCAGGTCCGGAATTGATCGGAATGCTGATAAGAAATCCAGGAACTTTGCCGATTTCACTACTCCGACCACCGTGATCAAGCAAAAGAGGAGGTGGTCACCGATGGCTGCAGCTGCTCCGGTGAAGACCGGTGGTTTTTCTCCTCCCAAATTCTACCAGGAGGTCTGAATTCATGTTTTTTTTTTCCTCATATATTAATACCTTATATCGATTTATTGCATTAAATTCATCCAATTCTTGTTTTTATAGTAAAAATTCCGACTTTATTATCATGAAAAACTTCAGGTTTTGATTGCTGCAAGAGCAAATTTTGCACAGGAGATATCTTTTCAGTCTAAAGACAAAGACATATCCCTTGCTAAGGTGATCTTTTTTCTTTAAAGAACTTTACTTTATCTTAAAATTATTGGCTAGGAGAAAAAGACATTTTTTTCTTGAAAAAATTTAACTTTTCCTTGGTTAGGAGAAAAAGACATTTTTTCATGAAAAAAATATTATCTTTTCCTGTGGCCCCATGCTTTTCTTTCCATAGTGCAAGTAGTTGAATACATCATCATCATCATCATCATCAAAATATGATAAAAATCGGTGTGACGCGGTGTCATGAATTTATAATTTCTTGATTTTTTGCACAATTTTCGGGCAATTGGTAGACTTATAAGGAGAGAAGAGTGGAAGTGGAGTGAAAAATTGGATCTTGTTTCGGCTATTTTTGTTTTATGATTACTTGTTTTTGTTCATATTTGATGGATATTGTAAATTAGACTCAATGATTCATACTCTTTTTATCTTTTTGGGTACATGAAAACCCCCTTTAACTAATTATTCCTAAAATTCCCTACTTTCTCACCGAATTTAGTTTCGAGTCTTTTAGTTGTAATTATTGACGTATCTTTTTAACGGGTCATAGTACTCTATGAGGTTGTTCTGTGTATGACAGATGTTTGTGGGACAAAAATTGTAATTATTTGTCTCATCCAAAAAGGTAGGATCGGGACCTACTCTCAATCTTGTCCGTGAAAATGACATTAAATGCCCTTCCCGTCCTTTTTAGAAGACATGAATTCAGCTTTCTACTGTCATATTCAATGATAAGGAAAGAGAGCATTTATGTCTTTTGCACCGAAGAGAGATCATGAAGGACTCCATGATCTACCTTGTTTCACCTTTTTGGGTTACAAAAAATAGAATTTTCCCCCTTTGACATCCGTTTGCAACCTTTTTCTCTTTTGTCGTGTCCTTTATTGTATTGTATTGTATTGTAGTAGTGTATTGTATTGTAGTAGTGTTTTGTCCTGTTTTGCATAGTATTGTAGTACTATATTATATTGTAGTACTATTTTGTCCTGTCTTGTATTGTGTTGTAGTACTGTTTTTGTATTGTATTGTAGTACTATATTATATTGTAGTACTGTTTTGTCTTGTAATGTCTTCTCTTACATTCCAAAGATTGATTTAATCTAATCGTTTTTTTGAAATTATTTAGTCTTTGCTTCATATTTCTGCCGAAGATGAGGCGTTTATTGCTTTCAATCGCGAAATGGATGCACATTCATTTGAAAATGAACGAAAAGGTGGAAAAGTGTCGCTTGATCTCCATGATCCAAATAAAACAGACTCCATGGTTATGGAAGGAAAGAGAATGGAAGAGTGGTTATCAGAGTTGGATGCCATTGCTAAAGAGGTCGAGGTGGAACTAATTTCAAGAGACATAGGTTGCCATTTGATTGAAGTTTTGGAAGCTGTGAACAAAGTTCTTTTTGAGTCACGAGGCTTCAAAAGATCACTTGTTGTGGATTCCAAATGTTCCTATTTGCATCATGTTTTAAGCTCCAAATGTGGTAGTGGTAAATCCGTAAATCCTTATGCTCTTTCTTTTTCACATAAACTTTTCATTTTAATGAAAGAAAGAAAGAAATGAAAGTACTTCTACATTTCTACTTCCATTGATTTATTTATTAAAACATTTTTTTTGCAGCAATTTTGCTTAGTGTAATCTACATTGAGGTTTGTCGAAGACTAAATTTGACTATTGTTGGATCCCGAGTTGGGGAAGACTTTTTAATCTGGCCCCAAACAGGAAATCCAGAGGTAAGATAACTTCACACTTCATAGTATTTACTGATTTACCCACTTTATATATATAAATTATTTCACTTTTGGACTTTTGCGACAAAGGGCTTACATTTTGGCAGATTTAGTCCCTGCAACAAAGGTTTTACGTTTTTGCAGATTTAGTCCCTTTTGGACCTTTGCCCCAAATGTTTTACATTTTGGCTGATTTAGTCCCTGCAACAAAGGTTTTCCTATTCGACAGATTTAGTCCCTGCAAACAAAGGTTTTACATTTTGACAGATTTAGTCCCTGCAACAAATGTTTTACATTTTGGCAGATTTAGTCCCTGCAACAAAGGTTTTATATTTTGGCAGATTTAGTCCTGCAAAACCTTTTGGCAGATTTAGTCACTGCAACAAAGGCTTTACACTTTGGCAGATTTAGTCCCTGCAATTTTTAAATTTATAAAAAGGTCCCTGTAATTTATTTTTTTCAAAAACAGTCGATATGTGTAAGATTTTGGTATTTTGGAAGGTTTGACCCTTGTGTACAAAACTAATTACAAAAATTGTCCCCTTTGCCTTTTTTACTAAACTGCTTATAATACATAAAAAAAAAAAAACCCGACCCCATTGCTTAGCATTGGGTTTTTTTTTTTTTTTTTTTTTTTCCTAGTTTTAACTTAAATGCTGGATTGTTAGTGATATTTTACTCACTTTTGATCTTTTTTAACAGGAGCTTTTTAAGGTCAAATCAGGGAACACTTTATTTGGGATTGTTAATGGGCGATGTGTTGAGAACCCAAGGTCAAAGGCATCGGATTTAAACAGCAATTCACTTTTGGGACTTGATATTGCTACAAATCGGGATATTATTGGGATTTATCTCGCTAATTTAATTGTAAGAAATTCACAAAACTTTTTTTTTTATTCTATAGCGTTGAATGCAAATATAGTTAATACGCAATACTAATACGAATACGATGCCATAATAAGAAAAATATTGAAATTGAAATGGTAGAACAGAAGGAATTGAAAATACGATGTTGTGTACATTGCTATTTTTTTGATTTAGTCGGTTTATTTATTTATTTATATATATATTTTTTTAAATTCTTGTTTTTCTCTCGATAGAGGCTTCATTGGAAACGTGCTTCAAGGATGAATCGTGGTTTAATGTTGACTTCTCCACTTAGGCCGGTTGATGATGAAAAGACTGATAGTTCGAGTAAACCCTTGTTACGTCCACAAGATCTTAGGTACACATGTGAAATTACTAATTTGCCCTTAGTATCATGCCACGACTTTCCTAATTATTTAGGCACTTGTTTCTGTTTTCCCTACAGGTTTCAAGATTGACATGAGAATTGAGAGGAGAATTTGTTAAATTGTGATCATTACCCAATAATCTCCCACTTTTTTTTTTTTGACAAATATACAAAAAGGGTTAATTGCAATAAATAGCAGCATACTTTTGGATCATTCTATTTAGGCATTGTACTTTGGAAATTTACCCAAATATAGCAATATTTTCCTAATACAAATGGATTTTCACTGTTATAAATGGGTAGGTATTTTCCAAGTATAATGTCTTAAAAAGAAATTATTATTATTATTATTTTTTCTTTTTAAAGTACTATGGCATTACTAGGTACCTTTTCCAAAGTGAAATGCATTAAAAAAAAAATTAAAAGTAAAATGTTTTAATAGAAATGAATGAAAGTGTTCAAGCTTTAAACTAATTTAAGTGTGCTAAATTAGACCATGAATGACACATTTAATGTTTGTAGTGTAAAGAATTTACATTGTCATTTTATAGAAAATAGACTTAAAAAACGGTGGAAATAATTTGGTTTTGATTTCATTGATTATGACATATGCATATCTACCATACTTTTACTGTTTTCATTGCTTAATAGAAAACTGTTTCTCCTCTTTCAGTTTCTAAGTCTATATTTTTATATATTCTTTTGCATTTAACACTAATACCTCTTCTAATTTCTATGACATCTTCCACTTTCCGATAAACTTACAACTTTTCATCAAACATTAAATATTTACATTATAAATTTTATTCTCGAAATTATAACATTACCAATATAATATTCAGTAATTAAATGTGCACATTTGTAAGTTGTGTTTGTTACGTTGTACAAGACTAACAAAATTTCTAGAATTACTCTCATTATTCTAATGATGAGGATAAGGAGGGCATTCACGTCTTTTGTACAAACAAGAGATCGATATTGAATCCCTATACCATCTTTTTAGATGGGACAAATTGCAATTTTGTCCTATTAACATCAGTCTGAGTCCAAGTCCACTGTATACCAAACACAGTCCAACCTGTTTTGTTCTGTTTTGTCTTGTCCTCCTTATCATAACATGAACTTGTGCTCTAAATGAGTCATTTTCTTGTGTTTGGCATGTGGAATCTTTTCTTTTGGCCTAGGCTGGCTATCATGGCATCCGAGAGATTGCTTATATTGCAGCCACATAATTGGGCTTTGAGGAGAGATCATGGCATGATGTTGTATTTCAGTAGGTATGATGACATCATCTAATATATATATAGTGTTCTCTTTTCTACACTCTATTTGTTTTCTCAAGTTTTTTTTTTTAATTTTTTATGAATGTTTAGGGATTATGGAGAAGCAGTTCAAGAACTAAGCATTTGCATGGCTTTTGCACCAGAAGAAGAGGCTGAAATCTTGGAACCGTTTGTGGAGAAGTTGCATTTGTTGAGGCTTGAATCGTCTTGGAAATCGTTGGGGCAAAAAGGTCATTTGACAGTCACTTGAAAACGTTTCTGTGTTGTTTGTTTGTGGAATATTTATAGTCGTATCTCTTTGACTTTTGAACACTTGACTTAAGAAGTTAAATCTTGTAGGTGTAGGCTTGTTTAACCTTGTAATCTGTTAGGCTTCTACTCTACTTTGACTTTTGAATCATGTTTCCTTTGGTCCTCTAAATCAATATAATATATTATAGCATTTTATACAAGCTTATGAATTACAATAACCAAATCAAGATATACTTGGCTTGAGCCACGTGTCACACTCACACTCAAATCAACAAGGCGCTTTTTCTACGATAAATTTTATTAAAATTAACATAAAGTTGGTTTGGTTAGGGTGATGGGAGATCGAACAAGACAATGTTACCATAATATAACAAACGAAGGGATTTTGACACATCATCCAATCATCTTCTTCATATGCATCGACTCTTGCTTCTCAATTATAGCTACTAGTGTTATACTATAGGTTATTATGATATAATTTCCATCTAAATAAACACTCTTGCCTGTTGCAATCGCTACTAGTGTTATACTATAATTCGTTATGGTATCTTTTAGACTTTCTAAGAGTGTTTTAATAGTAAAAGTAATTATAATAAATTAAGATTTTGTATTAAAAAATGTTATTAAATTTTTTTAGTGAAACTTGGGTTAAAAGTGAATAAATAGAAGATTTAGTGTTGACTTCATGGTTAACCAATCTAAACAGATTTGGACCATTCATTAGTTTATGATGGGAAGGAAACGTTTAGGTATGATTTAAATGTCTAGTTGTTTTCTTGTTTAAAGTGGTGGTCAAAGTAGAAACAACTAGAAAGTTAAGGAGTTGATGTGTTTGATGGACATAAACTAAGAGTTAGTTCATTTTTTTTCACACCTCATTTCTACCCAAACAAGCTTGAGAGAGATCTAGAGAGGGGAATGATCAATTTTCAGCCTCGGAGCACGATTGGAGTGTGATTAAAGGTGAAACTAAAGATTATTAGTTGGAATAATTTACTAAAGGCGTTAAAGGAGGTAAAATCCTACTTATGTTCTTCGACTCTTCAAGTTAGGGTTTATAATTTGGATCAGTTTTAAGTTATGATGTTAGTTTGATAATAGATGATAAGTTCAAGCTCAATGTTACCATTAAACCATCAATCTCTTTAACGGAGAGTGTAGAGAAGAAAACCATGTGGCTCCCTAACCGAGTTTAACGAGGTCAGTTCAAGAGAAAACCGATTTCAATCAGGCCAGTATAACCAGAATGTTGCATGTATAAAATATAACACCCAATTTTCAGGTACCTTTTCTCCATGCTTTTAAAATTTTATATTTTGGAAAATGTGGCTCTACGTGGGGAATACCTAGCCAAGTTACGCAAGGTGTAATCCATTACTTGGACACAGGGACTTAATACCCTACGCGGGGCATAACTGCACAGGGTGAAAACCCTAATTTTAGGGTCTTGGACCCTATTTAAGGACCTTAATCTCACTGGGACCCTTTTTACCAACAACCTCCATCCTCTTCAGCACATAGAATGGAATCTTAATCCCTTAGAACAACTTTTAAGCCTTTTTGTGTGTTTCGGTGTATCTTGAAGAATGAGAAGCTCAATCTTGAGGATTTGTTAAAGCCGAAGCTTGTGGATCACGAACGTACATTTCATTTCTAACCCCAGGAGGTATAAAGCTCGAAACTTGCTCATTCACGTGTTAGATCTCATTAGATCCATGTTTTAGTCAACCTTTTGTCCCATAATCTTGAGTCTTGTGAGTAGAAGCTACTCCATACCTTAGGGTTGTTAGTTTTTGTTGTTTACAAGTTATTAAGACATAAATCTGCAATCTTGGTTCCTACCTTTCATCCATGCAAGAGATTTTGGTCATTAGATGAGGTTAGGAAGCCATGGTTTGGCTTGGAGCTCCATGTAGTGATGCAAAGGCATAAAGTCATCAACTATATAATTTTAGCAGGTTATTGGGACCAGATCTGAGCCTTTGATGACTTGTCTTTACGAATTAAGAACTGGAAATGAAGAGGACTTAACAACCCAATATGTGGGGCGTAATCTGATCTACCCCAGTGTAGCACCTGCTTTCTTGAATTAGAATCTACATCCTGTGTAGAGTGAGAGGCACGGAGCACGTAAGTCAACAAGGGTTGACCGTCAACTTTTTGACCAGTTTGACTTTTGGTCAACTGTGAGGGGTTAAGGACTTGGAAGGGAAAAATGGTCTTTTTCCCAAATGAGGGTTTATTGTGATATCTAGACGTTTTGAGTTGGGATTTATCTCGAATTGCTAATTAGGGTTTGGTTTTGGTTATCTTAGTAGGAGAGACTTCAGCACCAACAACCCGAGTGTGAGAGTTATTCGTGGCCGATTGAGGTGAGTCTCTTCACTGTACTCGTGGGTCGAAGGCACCAATGTCGACCCACTATATCATGTATGTAACATGTCAGAAGTCGTCGTGATTCTTGTTGGTATGATCGTATGCTTATGTGTAAGGGGTGAAATAAAACTAAGGATGAAATAAGGCCATTCATTATGTATTTGATGTCCCTTATTGATATGCATGTATGTTATTTGTATGTTAGATGAAATAGACCAGTGGTGAAATAGACCCGTTCATTTGAAAAATACTGATTGAGTTGAAATAGACTCAGAGGTGAAATAGAACTGGCTGTGAAATAGACCCGTGCGTTTAAAATATACCGATTGAATTGAAATAGACTCGGGGGTGAAATAGATCCGTACATCTTTGAGCTGATTTGTATGTATGGTATGAGATATTTTAGGGAACTCACTAAGCTTTATGCTTACGGTTTATGTTTATAGTTTTAGGTATTTTCGGTTCCAAGTGGAAGAGTTCGACATGATTGTACCACATCTACTAGTATTCCACATTATTTGATTAGCTTGTACTTTGATGATTGTATGGCATATTTTATACTAAGATGGTTTTGAAACTAAATGAATGGTTGTTTTGATTGATTTAAAAGAAAATTTTTACTTAGAATTTCTAGGATGTTTCATAAAACTTGGTTGTGAAAGGATAGAGTGTAATAACATGTTATTTCAAGTCAATATAATGACCTAAAGTCAAGTATTGTAACCTATTTTGAGATAATAAAAATAGTGTCAAAATTGAAATATTCACAAACCTCAATTGGTGTAGATAAAGCGGTAGATATTATATCAAGGTTTTCAAAAATATAAAGAACACTAAAATCCGAGTTATAACGAAGAAGTTATGACCAATCAAAGATTCACGATAAATACTGTAAAACACTGTTAAGCGTAAAATGCGACAGTTCAATAAAATACTTTTTAGCCTTAGGTATCTAAATGAAAGTCGTAGATATATTTAAACCCTAAACATATATAAAAAGAACGTCCAAATCTGACTTCGTATGAGGAAGTTGTGATTTTTCTAAGTTTCGGATATAGTAGTAGACTACTAAAAACTCAAAATAGAGTTCGAGCGACTTTTAGCCAACGCAATCTAAATGAGAATCAAAGATCACGACAATAGTAGTACAACGGTAAAAGGATAGGTGAAAACGGATGTCAGATGAAGAAGTTATGGATTTATGACAGAGTTTTCCTGTCCCGACCAACTAAAAATAATATAATAAAAATTAAAGTCAAAATTAGCTGATGGGGTCTAAACGAGAGTTGTAGAGCATAATCTCACCTACGTATGGATATAAAGAACATCGAAAACGGAGCTCGAATGCAAAAGATATGAGTTTCTGAAGTTCGGGGCACGAACCCCAACCCCGTGTCAGAGTTCACGATGCGAACTCAGTGGTGACATCTTCTGGAGCCTGACAGACTGAACATCGCGACTACGCACCTGATGACGTCCAAGTTCACAACGTGAAATGATGGTTCACAACGTGAAATCTGAATTTTTAGCCCTATAAATAGAAACTGAAGGCTACCGATTTAGGTTGCTAATTCCTTCACTCTCTCACTCCCTATACCCTCTCTAGCTGTCTTCAAGTACCTATGAAGCCATCGGTAACACCCCTAACACACGACGTAAGTCCCGAAGCCCCGAAGTCTCCAAGAAAAACATTCTTTCTAGTCGAAATGTTGTCCGAGTAAAGCATCATTTTCATCAACTCGTCACTTCTACCAAGTGAGTCCATACCCCTAACTTATCTTTTTATGATTTAAAAATGATTTTATGGGGGGGGGGGGGTGGATACAAGTAGAAAACATTATAGTTATCGAATCAATCACATGTGATTTATAACTATCAAAACAAGTGGATCACTTATATTGCAAACCGTGTTATCAAACAAACTATTTCAAAACATTTTATAAACTGACATCAAGTCAACTATAACCATTCAAATGGTTAAAACTCTTTTATATGCTAAACTATTTATTAAAACCCTTTTTAAACTTATATATTGTCAAAATCATGTTTATATAGATATAGTTATATAAGTAAGGTTGAAAGGGCGTAGGACTGATAACTCGCTTTATTTCCTGTTCCTTGTTTGGTTGTGGACTTAGGGTATCTGGTTGTTTGTTAGAGTGTTGTTTGAATCTTAGTCATATATTATGTATATGGATATAGATATAAAAGCTTTTATCTCAGTTCAACACCTTTGGGTAGCAATGGTGTACAAACATACAAAGTCATTCAAACAACATTACTAGTAAACTATAATAGGTATAGTCTAGAGGTTTACTACTCACTATTTCTAAGAACAATGAAACATACAAGACTCAGTTCATACATGAGTTAGTTCAAACATACTATAAAGAGAAACAGAAAGAACATACTATAATGAGAAACAAGGAGGAACATACTATACACTATACATAGAGAACACACAATACACTAGAACAGATAGAGCATACTATACAAATACAAGAATACTATAACATTAATGTGAGCCATTAATTCATGGCATGACAATATGCAACCGTGTCACGTTTTGTAACCAGAGTCTTGTAGAGGGAGAGCATGAGTTTGTGTATAGATCTATACAGGATTGACCATCCTACACATTGCGGCTAGCTACAGTGAGACGTGCAGGTCTATGGGTGACGAATGGCATACCATTTCGACGTCTTTGATTGTCATGTTTTACTAGTCAATCAAGTATGGTTATAATCATATCACATTTTGCCTTAATTAAACAAACTGGTTTAAGGTAGTTAGTACATCGGTAGTTACTTATATACAATACTACAA